CCGCCCTGGGAGGGCCCCCCCAGGTGAGCAGCCTCCCGCCCTCCGCCTCCTCGGGGTTACTTAAGCTGGGAGCTTCAGTGTTGCTCACCGGTGTTTACGGACGCCCCCGCCCGCAGGGACGGCGCAACCAGAAGCACAGCTGTCTGACTCAGCCGCTCCACAGGTGAGGAGCCCAGGGCGCAGGCTCTGGCTGGCAGCGGGATGACACAGGCTGCCAGGGGCGGAGGGAGTCACGCCCGCCAGCTGTGTAGGAGAGCAGGGAGCGCCCACCCGGGCAGGCCTTGGGCAGCAGCAGCACCTCCTGCTGCTGAGACCCGATCTCCAGCGGGGTGCGGGGTCAGGGCGTGCCCCAGCCACCCGGAGCATGGCTGGCTTTTGTCACTCACTCTGGCACCAGGAGCAGATGCCGAAGCCAGGAGGGGAAAGGGGGACTTCGGCCAGCTGTGGTTTTGACACTTGGCCTTTCTTTCCTGGAGCCTGCGGGCGATGCTGGAGCGGAGTCCGGGGTCAGCCCGCCTGGGGAGGGGAGGCCAGGCCTGTCTCGTCCTGGCTCTCGGCCCATCCTGGCTGGGGGCCGGCTCTGAGCGAGGAAGGTGGCAGGCTGTCCTCGCTGTGCAGGCCCTGGCCTGTTGGGGACAGCTTTCAGGATCCTGGCTGGTCAGAGTGAAGAGGTTTATGGATTCCTTAACTTGGATTTGAGAAGGGTTGAAGTCCAGGACTTCCCAGCCCCCAGCCTGGGGCTCCTCCGAATTCCCCAGGTGATGCAAATGCTCTGCTCTCCCTGGAGAGCTCCTTGAGGTTCCGAGGGCTGGGCTGGTCTGGTCTGGGGTTCACAGCAGGAAGCCTTCAGTGGCCTCGGCCAAGCTGTCTCCCCTCTGTCCCCTCCACCAGGCCTCTGGCTGTAACTTCCCTGTCCCTGGAGGAAGTTCAGGCTGCAGACCCAGAGCCCTGTGGTTTCAGGGCAGAAGTCTGGCCCTCCCGGGCTGAGCCGCAGGCCCGGGGCGGGGTCCCGCACAGCGCCACTCTGTGGTGGCCGCAGGGCCTGCCCCTCCCAGAAGTCTCTCCGGTCCTCTAGACTTGGTCTGCCTTCAGTGCTGGTGCCACCGGTGCCTGGTAGGAGGGCCTTCCGGCTGGAGCCTCTCACTGGGGGTGCTGGTCTCCCCTCTTACAGAGGCACAGGTGGGACCTGGCCACCACCTTTTCCTTGCCCCCAGGAACACGTAAG